ACTAATAATCATATATAATATGTAGGACAAAGAATTACATGTGAGAGCCTTCTTAAAGTACCCTGCAATTTTCAAGGCCCATGCATATACACTAGGTGATTTTCAAAGCAAAAAAATTCTATCAAAATTTTTCTAAGTCAACAGTCAAAACGTAGAGGTCTTGCAAACGCGTGGAGTACAAAAATATTCACTTCTTTCTCTCTCTCTTTCTATTTATTTGTTTATTGGTCTTCATATATGATAGATAATTATGATGTGATATATTATCTTCAAATTAACCCTTCTCTAATCCAAAGCCAGTCACACAAATTTGCCCATGGCGGAGAAGGAGCAGGTGAAGCCATTAGCCTCAGCGCCTTTCCGCAGCGATCTAAATGAAGAAGAGTTATCTATGCAATTCAACTTTCACCAACGAAATTATCTCAAGTGTTGCGGTTGCTTCACCACCCTCTTACTAATTCCGGCGGTCGTGCTTCTCATTCTCAGCTTCACAGCCTTTCATATTCATCATCCCCAGATCACCATGAACTCTATAACTGTTCAACAACTTCACCAGGACGAAAACCAAACTCTACGAGATTCGGACATAAAAATGTCACTTGTGGTTGACATTTCAGTGAAGAATCCTAATGTAGCATCCTTTAAATATAGCGATGCTGTGACAAGGGTGTACCAAGAGGGGACTGTGGTCGGGGAAGCCCGGAATCCTTCGGGAAAGATTAAAGCAAAATCAAAGGTTCTTTTAAATGTTAGCATAGATGTGAGTGTGAGAAGGACTGGGGGAATGATGAAGATGGGAATCAATACAAGGATTGACGGAAGAGTGAAAATAATGGGGGTGATAAAGAAATCTGTAGTGCCAAAGATGAATTGCAGCATGAGATTTGATGTTTTAACAAAGGCATTTCAAGAGGAGAGGTGCGGGCAAAATGTTATGATATAGGATTAATTCATCATCTTTTTTTTTTTTTTTTTAGTTGCTTAAGCAACTACATAATTTGTCTGTTTTTCTTTATGCATATATGTTTTATAATAGTTTTGATTTTGTTGTAGATAGATTGGAAATGCAATCTTTTTATATAAATAGTAATAAAGATCTATTACATATTCAAAGAATTGATGTCTTCAATTTCATATCATTATAAATATTCATATCCATGCATATATAAATTTTAATTTCAAAAGTAAAATTAAGCTTATTTCGTTGTACGAGCAGAGAAGAGAACATAAAATTTCTAGATGGTTCTAAAACTTGGGTCATTCAAATCAAGATGTAAAACATGTTCTTGTTCATTGTTAAAGTAATTCATGAATAAAAATAAAATAATCACGATTGACATTTTTTGCTTTAATTATGTGGAAGGAAAAAAACGTAGTTAGCTTATTTTTCAAAGGGTTTTACGTAGTTCTAATGACGTGGGTAAGAAAGAGATTTGCTTGAATACATAAATGCTACAAAAGTAGGATAGTACATATGGCTAAAATAATTCTCAAGTTATGTGTGGTTGGAGTAAATAAAAAAATTATTTTGTAAAGTTAATGAAATTTATGATAATTCCATACAAAATTTTAAATAAATTCAAGTTCTATTATTTTCTTAAAAAAAATG